ATACCGAGAAGGTTACGAGAAGTTGTGCTGCGTCAATCCCATGTTACTTTAACAGGAGGACATCTCGGAGTTAAGAAGACACTGAGTCACATACGACACAGATTTTACTGGAAAGAGGTGGAAGAATGGTGCATGATGCAGTACATGTTGTGCTAAAAGGGGACCCAAGCATAAGGGATGTGCTCCAATGAAGTTATATCAAGTTGGCGAACCAATGGAAAGAGTAGCCATTGACAATCCTGATCCTCTGCCCCAAACTCGTGCTGGGAACAAGTACATTTGTGTGGTGATGGATTATTTCACCAAGTGGCCTGAGGCATATGCAATACCAAATCAGGAAGCTACAACTGTAGCTTCGGCTATTAGTGATTTCTTCTTCAGATTTGGTATGCCATATGAACTGCCTTCAGATCAAGGCCATAACTTTGAATCAGCTGTGTTCCATAAATTCTGCAAGTTGTTTGGCATACGAAAGACCAGGACAACTCCACTTCACCCACAGTCTGATGGAATAGTAGAAAAGTGCAATTGGACACTTGGACAGGAATTGGCAAAGTTTTGTAATAGCCGCCAAGATGACTGGGATGTCTTACTCCCTCCACTGTTGAAAGCCTATAGAACAGCAGAGCATGAAGCCACTGGATACACTCCAGCAAAGTTGATGTTCGGTCGGGAACTTTGGTTGACAGTGCATCTGTTAACAGGATGCCCACCTTATGAAGAGTTGCCTGAAAATGTGTCAGAATTCGTGAAAGTGTTATCGGAAAGGATGGATGATATTCACCATGAAGTGCATTCAAACTTGAAAACGTCTGCTGATTCGATGAAGTTATCTTATGATAAGATATCTACTGAAATCAGCTTTGTACCAGGAGACAAAGTGTGGTTGTATAATCCCAGGAAGACCAAATGGAAATCTCCTATGTTGTCTTCTCCATGGGAAGGCCCATGTGACATAGTGGATCGGCTCCCAGACGTGACTTTCCAGATATAATGTGGTCGGCGAGGTTAGCCAAAGGTGGTGCATGCGAACAGGCTTTGGCATTATCACGGTCCAGGACATTTCATTTGGGATGAAGTGAACAATGGATCAAATGACGCTGCTGAAGATGTGTCACCTGAAAAAGCCACTGTCGAAGAAGAAACTCTACTCGGTTTCGAGAAGGGAAACAGTGAAGCCCTTGGTGAAGGTAAAATTAAGAGACTTTGTTGAATTTTAATTTTGTGTTTATAAATTCTGTACATTTAATTAAGTTATTGTTAATTGTTTATTGGTTTAATGTAAGTGGCTATTGTTCGGGACGAACAATACTAGGGAAGTGGTAGTGTTATGACAGCGGGGGTCACGTGACCCTAGTAACACATCATATTCTCGAACGTTCACGTCCCTTCCTGAAGTCTCGAGAGGTTACTAGATATGAAGTATTCTTGTATATATTAGACCGGTAAGAACTGACGACAACAATGTAATGTAATGTAACTGAAGTGCAGACAGAGAGAGACTGACAAGTGAGTCGAGCACGTGAGTCGTTGTTGTGAATTATAGCGTGACTGTGGAAATTAAGTGTATTGCAAAGTTGTATTTAGAAAGAATAAACCAGTTTTATTTAAGAAAGGACTTGTATTGCTAAAGTTTTTCGGAAAGAAATTATACGGAAATTTAACTAACGACCAGAGACATAACATTATGATAAGAGATCTACTGAAGTCAGTTTTGTACCAGGAGACAATGTGTGGTTGTGTAATCCCAGGAATATCAAAGGGAAGACTCCTAAGTTGTCTTCTCCATGGGAAGGCCAATATGATATAGTGGATCGTCTCTCAGACGTGACTTTCCGAATAAAATGTGGTCGGCGAGGTAAGCCAAAGGTGGTGCATGCCATCAGGCTTTGGCATTATCACGGTCCAGGACATTTCAGTTGGGACGAAGTGAACAATGGAACAAAAGATGCCACTGAAGACGTGTCACCTGAAAAAGCTACTGTCAAAGAAGAAATTCTACCCGGTTTTGAGAAGGGAAACAGTGAAGCTCTTAATGAAGTTACTACCACTGATGTGACTATTACCGATAATAGGACGATTCCCGATGGAGCAGAATAACCCCACATGAAGCAGAAACTAACAAGATGGAGACCAGTTCGGAAGAAGATACTTCCTGTAAAATTAAGAGACTTTGGTGAATTTTAATTTTGTGTTTATAAATTCTATTTATTTAATTAAATTATTTTTAATTATCTATTGGTTTAATTTAAGTGGCTGTTGTTTGGGACGAACAATACCAAGGAAGTGGCAGTGTTACGACAGCGGAACTCACGTGACGCTGGTAACACGTAATGAGTATATAGAAGGATCCTGAAGGCTGGAGTGTTTGCCAGACGCCCTCTATTTTGTATATATAAGACCGACAAGAAGTGACGGGATAGATAATTGCAGACAGGCAGAGATAGAGATGGACAATTGAGTCAAGTGCGGTAGTGACCGTAAGTAAAGTGCGTGAATCGTTATGAATTATAGCGTGTGTTTAAGTTTAAGTGACTGTGGAAGTTAAGTGTATTACACAGTTGAATTGAGAAAGAATAAACTAGTTTTATTTAAGAAAGTACTTGTATCGCTGAAGTTTCTCAGGAAGAATTTCTACGAAAAATTAACAAACGACCACAGACGTAACAATACGCTAGAAATCACAGCAATTCAGAATCCCGATAACTTACCGTGAATACTGTTCGTTTTAACCATACATTCCATTTCCACTGGCTTTTCTCGCCAGGCTTATATACTAAAAACGAGGGCGTCTCGAACGCACTAGGAAATTCATGATCATTCGAGAAATTTCACGTACGTTACCAGCGTAACAATACACTTAACTACTGAAACTAAGTTTGAACATCAATCAGTATATTTCGTTGTTAAAGTTGAAAATGTGAGTCGTTATCGTTAAATTACGAATCGTTCGGTTGCACTCGTTCATGTGTATACCTTTTTTACCCATTTCTTGTACAAAGAGTAGAGTTAAAATCATAAATAATATTTATACACAAGTGCCAAAATACTATAATTAAAGATGGAGTTATTAAAGGCACGAAAAATTAATTGTTACCCTATAAATATCTTAATACTAGAAATAAACAACCTTATAACACCAAAATCAAGTAACTGAAGTTTGAAAAAATTATGAAATCGAAATACAAATACCTTGTGATTTTCCAATAACATAGAAGAATAATTTTACATATCTAGTATTTTTTTTCTTTTTGAAAATCCCGGGGGGAGGGCAAGTTACCTTTCTTGCCCCTTCCTGCGGGCGCTCATGGTTTCTGTATTAATGTCTTCTATACACCAATATGCACCACGGAAATTGAATATGGATATCTGTTCACTGAACTTTCATCGTATTAACAGTTTAAAAATACTCACATGTAACACAAGCCTCCTCCGAAGTTGAGCTGTTGCTGAACTTGTTTTGTTGCCTTTATAAAAAAAAAAAATGTTTATCGATACTATAAATATTCGAGTACTATAACCAATTTTAATTCAACACGCACAAAATTAATCTGAAACATAATATTTTCCTATGTAAAACAGTACAAAGGAATTTATTTGAAGAGTCACATATTAATTAACGAAAAGGACGTTGAGCAAATTTCGTACTTTAGCCCCAGATTGATGATTAACACATGAGACGAAGGGGCGTTTTTTTTTTTTTTAATAAACTGCGTAGCGCTTGTAGTATCGACCGTAAATACACTCTACAGTTTGAGAGGAAGTCTGCGAACGTTTTTTTTTATTTTTTATTACATTAATGTGTGAAAACGTTGAACCTTTACGCGCAATAATGATTGAAATATCAACGATTATGTTATTAATAACCAGTGTAGCTTGTGTTTTTTTACTGGTTATAGGGATAACGTTAATGATTTTAGCAAAACGATTGGGAATATTTTACCAGTTAAAGCATTCAGTAAGTAAGAAGTGTTATCACTTTATGAGTCATTGAATGTATCAATACGACATAGAAAATGAACAAGTATTAGTAAATTAAATTCTAAATTATTTATAATGTTTACAAGTTAAGTACAGCTAATTTATGCGTGTTTCTAAAAATGAAAATATTAAAGCGAGAGAGGCAGTACTAATACTAGTAATACTAACAGTTAAAATTTTGGTTATATTTATTGTCATTAAATTATATTTGACACTGTGTAAATATAGTATACTATAATATAGGCTCTGTCATGGAAATTTAGAAACAGTTTGTTTTAAAGCAAAGCCACATTGGACTATTTTTGTGTCCACCATGGAGAATTGAACCCTGGATTTTAGCATTGTAAATCCTTAAACTTACTGCCACCCCACTGGGGGACAGGACATTTAGAAAGCTACACTTTGCACACCTACCCTTTAGAAAAGTAAAAATTTGTATCCACCCTTTAATTTTATTTATATGATTGACTTTGCTTGCAATAGCAAATAATACAATAGAGATGTTTAAAGTTTTATATAGCCAACTCTAGCAAGTTATAAAATTAGATTACCATGCAGTGTTTTTGGTGCAGTGAAGGATTTTGATGTTTGTCTCTTAAACTGTTAAAGTAATACTTGTATTAAAATCCTTTGTTGCACAAAAACCAAAGTTATATGGTAATTTAATTTATAATAGAAATAATTGGTTGATCAACACATACTCTTTTGGAATTCTGAATGCATGTTAATTTTTCCATTGAATGTAATTAATATTAGTAGTTTAGGCTTCTGCTTTTTTTCTTGGTTGAGAAATGACCTTTATGGAATGAATGGTGCCCTTCTTTCACCATGATATTTCATATCTTCATATGATTGTTTTTCACCTATAAAAGTTAACAGTTATATGGTGTGTAGAAGAGAAATATTAATTTTCTTTTAACATAACATACAGACAACAAATAGAAGAGTAAAAATATAATCCACCCTTTATTTTTCAGGAATTCATCAATTCTCCTCTTAAACACCTGTGAGTTGCTAACTTTCTCTGAGCACTGTTGGAAAAATAGAATTTCTTACCTGGAGAATAGCCTGTCTTTTCTAAATATTAATCTTGTATCTTTTTGCTCTTTTATTTTCAGAATATAGTACAAAGAAATCAAAAGTCTTTATTCCATTGATTCCCTAGATAATGCTGTAAACTTCAGTAAGACCATCGCTCATTTGTCTCTTTCTCAAATAAGAATAAGATATTTTTACCTGTCTGAAGATTTCATCCCCAGAGTCATTGTAGTAGCCTTCCTCTGAACCCTTACCAATAAAACAATATCCTTTCTTCGGTATTGACTAAGGAAACCAAAATGGTACACAGTATTCCAAGTGAGGATTAATTAGTGATTTGTATAAAGAGTTAATTAACTTTTGTTTTTTTTTACTTGTGATCAGTATATCTATAAATATACCCTAAATTTCGATTAGCTTTATTAATAACAATAGAGCACTGTTTTGATGGCTTGAGTGACTTATCAGCAAATATGCCAAGATCTGTTTGTTTATTTGTTGTTGAGTGGATTCCCATCTATATTGAACAAGTGGTCCAAATTATGAAAACCCCACTGCATTACCTTGCAGTTACTCTAGATTATTTGACAGATATTTGTCCAAATTACCAATTGATTCAAGACATTCTATAAAAACTCAAAATTCTCAATACAGCTAGAAATGCCCAAGAGTTTAATGCCATCAATAAACTACTAATTTACTCATTACACCCTATCATTATCATTAATACATATAAAAGAAAGTAAAGGCCCAAGCACTGACCCATGGGTATTCTGTGGGGGATATCAGAATTGACCTGAACCATGTAAATATTGATACTTTGGTGGTAAGTAGGAAGACCAAAAGATTAAAAGTAGAAAAAGCACCAGTGCTAGACAGGTTTTTCTAGGGTTTTAAGCAAAATCAAAGATGGATATCTTAGCTTCTCCCTTTCATTTTTGGTAGGTCAAGAGAGGGTGCACAGTTGCATGAGGATTTGAGTAAGAGTTGCTAATGTTACTCTTATTTTTTAAATTTGATGATAAAAGTTGCATTGGAGGTTATAGGCCTATTATTCTTACTTTTGTAGTGAGAAAAATTCTAGAGTCATATATAAAAGCTTTTCAAAACTACTTAGTAACTTATTATAAATTAGTGGAGGTTGGGGAAAAACTGGTTAATTTGATGAGTAGTGGTTGGATGAGAGAAAATAAAAGATTGTTATTAATGAAGTCCATTCAAACTGGACTCTACTTATTAGTGGAGAATTTCATGTCAGTGCTTGGGCCTTTTCTCTTTTTTTATTACATTGACAGAAGCATAATTAGTAAATTATTAAAGTTTGCTGATGACATTATACCCTTGAGTATCTCTAGCTGTATTTATGATTTTGAATCAATTGGTAATTTGGAAAAGTATTTAGCAAATGACCTTTAATCAGTGCTGTACTGATGGTTGATGGTGCCCTATGTGAAATATATATTTGGCACTCCCAACTCAACTCATTACTTTATTTTGTTGGTCTATCGGGCAGTTGGTGCTTCCTTTGAGTTGGAGCACTAACCACGATATGGTCTTATCTTTAATTATCTTAAGTTCAAGGTTATGTACTTGAGTTATAGTTTGGATCACATGTGTAATAGACTTGAGACCCAACTCAATAGTGTGATTACAGAAAAAGTACCTTGGTATATTGGTGGATAATCAATCACTCAAGCCAACAAAACGGTGTTTTGTTGCTAGAAATAAAGCCAATAGTATTTTAGGGTCCATTTATAGACATATTGATTGGAAGTCAAAGAGGTAATTATCTATATAGAAATTACTCATTAGGCTTCACTTAGAAAATTGGATATAGATTTGGTTTTCTTACCTAAGAATTACTGGAAATGGTTCATAAGAGGTCTTCTAATAAGTTCTAGGATAATTCCAGGAATGAAAGGGATGGGATATTATACAGGAATTGATTAAAATCTCAACCTTTATCTTGAGAAAAGAAGGGTAAGAGAGTAATCTTATTGAAGCTTACAAGATTATCTTATGGATCAATACTATAAAGGCCTCTGATTTACTAGTGTTATATTTTGAAGATGACAGAATGAAAGGACACAAGTTTAAGATTTGGAAAAGACAGGCTAGGTTCTAATCAAAATGGTATTATTTTTCTAACAGGGTGACTGACTTTTGGATGAGTTCCAATCAAATGTAGTGGAGGACAGGACTTTACAGCTACTTTAGAGTAAACATCTGTACTTTTCTGAAAAGTGAATGGTGATTTAAGTCTTTAATTTATGCAAGGGTGGATGTGAAAGTACGGACTTGAAGGACAATTGGTCTGTTGTTTTCCATTAAGTTGTGTTATGTTAAATTACAATAAGGTGTAGTCAGTCAAATCATGCCAAGAATTGATAAAGCTTGGGTTTAGTTTATTTTGTAACATATGCCACTTGAATGTATATGTAGCTTTATGTAAGAGTATTGAAGTCTTTGTTGTACACCTGATGGAATATTAGGGATTTATCATTTGCTGTATTGATTGATGGAAGCCCTACAAAGTTCTTCCCTGTGTATTTTTTTTCATTGTCATCTAAGTTTTGTTTACACTCTTCTGTTATGGAGATGAATTCCATTACTGATTTTTTACACTTCAATAGCAATACTTGTTAAAAAATACTTTGAAATGATTTTCATCTCTGCCTTCACAACCATCTTCTTACTTTGTTGATTTAAAAAAAATAACAAATGTGTCATTGTACCTAATGCAATATATGATCTACATGAACATGAAATAGGATCTTGATTTTACTGAGTTATTAAAAAAATTGATGTCTACATTGAGCACGACAGAAAGAAATATTTTGAACATATATATGAATTAGTATTATATTTTTACAGCATTTTAAAATTTACTTCTTTTTATATTTTTTTGTCTTATTTCTTAGGTTCATGACACTTCAGAGAGGCATGGAGGAGAACTAGTTGCACAGACACTAAAAGTGAGTCCAAACACTGTTGAATGTTTATTTCAGGAGAATAAGCTTTAAAAAAATTGTTTTTTAGAATATATAAGAGTTGATATAAAATGTTAAAAGCTTTTAGAGTTCTTGTTGCTGATGTGTCATAACTATGTTTTCGTGCAGTTATATATTCTGTAACATAAGATATTTTAATAGTTAATTCTGTTAGAAGATAGTGGCATAAGATATTAAAAAAGGAATAAAATGTATGTTTTTGTTGGATATACAAAACTGTTTAGTGTAAGCATTATTATTTAATTTATTAGGTTATTTGATATTAAATGATTATTCACTTTTCATAACAAGAGAGTTGAAAGTAATTATTTTAAAGGTAATAGTTATGACAAGTTTGGTTGAATAACTTGGTAAGAGTCATACGTCATACGTAAGAGTCATACGTAAGAGTCATGTGTGTGTGGTTCAATTGTTGTAGTACTGTTGATGCTAAATTACTCAAATCTTCTGTATTTTTCTTGTTACCTTTGGTGATTATTTTTATCGTATAGTTTCGCTCATGTAGTTTATAGAAAGTTCAAAGCCTCAGTAAACAAGGTATATATTTAGGTGACTAATGAGTGCAAGTAAGAAGTGAAGTGAAAGTAAATTTCAGTTAGAGAAAAGTTACTTAGTGAAAGATAACGTGAAGTTCGCCGGCATGGGAGTGATTAGCCTTTGCAGGTGATATTTTAAAGTGAGTTTCACAGATTAACAGAGATAAGGAGAATAATTTGTATTGTCAAAGGGTGTTCTAAAGTAATTGAACCCATATGTGTGGACGTTGATGAAAGGGGACTATTATTTAAAGTTTGAGATACAACTGTGGTAATCCTCGAGGTAATTTAAGTGAATTTATTGCAGATTGTATAGTAAGAAACAGAATACAAAAAATAATTCATCTTGTCAATTGGATTCTAAAGTAATTGAATCAGTCTGTGTGGACCTTTGACAAGAAAAGAGAATTATTTAGAGTTTTAGATACAACTGTGATATTCTATAGTGTAAAAAATTTTTATACATACATATGACTTGTTTTGAATATTTATATTATTTTAAAACAAGTGGATTGTGTACTATCTGTTTATTGTTCGAATTATTGCCAACAAGTCAAAAATTTTTATGGTAGAAGAATCCCAGCCCACATATACATAAAACTTGAACAGTTTTTAATTATTATTTCCAGTGTAAAATCTTTACACTGGTTAATAAAGTAGTACATGTGAGGTATATGAATATATATAATGTGATTCTATCTTGTAGCATTACAATATTTTATTTTAAATTCAGCCTTTGTTCTGAATATGTGTAAATAACACATACCATGTGTTCAAGAAACTATTAAGTTAATCTTGTTTCAAGTTACCTTTGATCCTTTGTTCTTGAAATAGGTAATACCTATTACTACCCAGGTAGAACATTTATTAATATGTTGCTGTGTAAGGATATTGACAATATTGTCCTTGAGAGGTTGTACTGGCCACGTGTAGTGGTTATGGTCTCACTTATGTTGTAATGAAAATGATTTATCACTTTGATAATGCATGTCACTCTGGATAAATTCAAGGTTTCTTGGAAACTAAGGAACCTGGCAGGTGGTAGTCTGAAACGTTATTTTCAACTGGTTAGTCATTTCTAGAACTTGGTATTGATTGATTAATTCTGAGAGAAGCTACTTAGAGTGATCATCCAAAGTAGGTGCTTTGCAAGTGCAGTACACACTGTGTTTGTGTTTAGTGTTGAATTAAAATTGTTCATTTCGTGTATTACTTGTTTTCAGTCTTGTTACTTCATTTTATATCACCTTAGTTAAGTAAAAGTTTTAGTTAAACTTTTTAATTGATATCTAGAATGAATCTCCTGTTATTTAACTCTCTGAAAGCTTAAACATGTATATATACAATTTATATGCATATATTCAATCCACATGAATGTACCACAGAGTTGATAGGTGGTAGCAAGTTTGATGCCATGGCTGCAGGATATAGTTATTGTGGAGTGCACTGATAGCTACTGATGATTGTATTGCTCTTCATTTGTGCTCTCATGCCATTAAGTTTAAAAAGACCTCTGGTTAAACAAATTATATTGTTGACAACTACAAGAACTCATGACCTAGAGGGAGATTTGACCATGGAGGGTAGTTGGTTTTCTGAGAAAGTAGTCAGTCTAAGAGAAATCCTCTCCTGGAAATTGGATTTTTGCTGATTCTTTGAATAATGTCATTGTGATCTATGAGCAGTGACAGAGAACTGCCAACAGCTGAAGTGCTCAGATTAGTTGATCAAGTTCTTATCCTGAGGAGTGACCTTTGTGCAAGGGAAACACAAACTGATGATCATTGTGGTGGTTTAGCATCTGATGAGTCAGAGTGGTGGATGGTCTGTACAGGACTCTTAGACCTATAGCAACCAGAGTGTCTCAATTCCAGCTTTAGTCAAAGCCACCCAGAGCTGAAGTAAGACTTGAGAAGCACCATTGGTGAACACTTTATATCAATTGGAGTCATCTTCCCAACAACTGAAATGGTGGATGCCAAACCAGAAACGTGTGGCATGAGGCAGTGGTGAGCTTACCCAAACTAGAAGGTATACTGCCAAAGTGAACATGATTCATGGAGGAGCATGAGGTTGGGCATAGACAACAGATGAGCTACCTAGAGCACCTCATTTTTCTACCACCTTGCATCAGGAACCTGTCATTCTTCCAAATATCAAGGTGCTTGAGAGCATCTACCATGCTGAGCTGACAATTTTGAGGATATCTCAGTCTGAATATGACTGAGAAGTCAGGTAGGAGCATTTCTCATTACAAACATGAGTCCCCATGAGCAAAACAGATCACTCCATCAACATTTAGAGGCACAGCAAAATAAGACTTGGACTTTTTCCTGAAACACTTCAAGGAGTCAACTACTTGGACTCAAGACCGAGCTGCTCAACATGTAAACCTTAGTCTAGACAGTCCAGCACTAGACTTTGTGAAGCATTTGGATATGTGGAGCAACTCTGAGACTGTAAGACAGTCATAACCAAATTGCACCAAAAGTTTAACCTAGTGGGAAAACAAACCAATCTGTTAGTGTGATTTCAAAGTATGGAGAAATGGTGTTACTGAAAGCTTGACCCCCCTCTTATGTGGATGATCTGCACCATTTGCATCGTAAAAAAAATCTATCTTACACAGGCCTCAGCAGATTAGAATGATATCCTAGTAGACAAGTTTGTGAAAGGGGTACTTTGTGAGATGATATGACATCACATGGGTGTCAGACACCCATACTGAAGCAATTTCTGTTATGATGCAATATGAAGTATTATATTTGAATTGCATGCAGGAGAGGAACAAGCCTATAGTAAAAATTGTAGTGACTTCACCTAGGACAGACCATCCTTCTCAGGCATCAACATCGTTGCAGGTTTGGACTCAGCTGAGGGTTAATCAAGCACCCAAAAATTCTGGAACTGCAATGTAGCCAAAATGGTATCCAGTGAACAAGCAGGGCTATCTCATTTCTCCCATGGTGTATATGTTGCAACACCTACCACTGATGCCTCCACCCAAATGTCATTCTGGAAGGGAGGAGCAAAGTACATGCTTTGCCTTTGGAGCATTGGGTCAATTTACACCGAACTGCTCTTACCTCATCAAACAGCAGGGTAGACAAGGCTATCAGTTTCAGTCAATGGTACAACATGTTCAAGAGAGCTAACAGCAGGCAGTGAATACTGCAGATGTAACTCTGGGAAACTAGAGGGGTCCAACTTGGAGCTGGCCACTGACTTGGGAGAGTGCAACAAATTGCTTGCACTATAAAGTGAGGTGGGCTTTCAGGGCTCGGTGGGTCTTGGTATGTGCTTGCATGAGTATATAGGTAAGACATAGAGTTCCTAGTTGATACAGGAGTAGCCAGAACACTGGTAGGTCTTGTGGTATATCAGATGCTCCAAGTAAAACCACCTCTTGGGTCTTTTGACATGAACTCTGTCCTGGCAAATGGAGGTAAAATAGATATGTAGGAGAGGTCTTTCTCTAACTCTGTCTTGGAGAGCTTGCTTCAGAGCAAAGGTAATTGTCACCAACATCAGTTCTGGCATTGGCTTTCTTGGGATGGATGTGGTGTGAAGTTTATCAGTCAGTTTCACCAATGCACTAGGTGAACTGATATTCTGTGGTAGTTATCCAGTGTCAGACAGGTGGATCCAAGGAACAGGGGAAATGCATTAGTGTATGTGGGGAAGGAACTCTTAGTACCCCCATTTACAATAATTATGTTCCACGATGAACTTTGGACAATGTCTAGTGCATCAGTTCTGTGTATTGCAATTATTGATCCTACACATGAAATTAGCTGTTTCCTGTCCAAAAAGCAATCAACATTAGCTTGGGCAGTTATTCCAAGGACAATGGAGCTCCATGTTGTTTTGTGATTATGAAAAATTGGTTATCCAATATTAGAATGATTATCAGTACAGTTAGTGAAGTGAGGATAATCAATGCTAGAAATATCTTTAGGATTGTATCCATCATTTAATACTCAAAAGATAATCAGATACCAACACACCTGATACTTCTAGTTGAAGAATGTGCTGGCACTAGACTCAAGACATTAACAGTAACTCAGTGACTTTGTGGGATATGCTGATGTACTAGATGGTTGATTGGGTCAAAGCACACTCCCACAACATCACGTAGATACAGCTGACCTATATCATAGTTAACAACTGCTCATAGACTTCACTAGAGAACTGTGATGGTTGTCATTTCTGAAATACAGTGAATGTTAAAACACAAAATCCTAAAGCCTTCAGAGGGTGCTTGGTCATCTCCAATAGTAGTAGTCAGAAAAATGGAAGGTACATCCAGATTCTGCATTGATTTTAAGTGGGAAAATGCATTAACTTACACTGACACCTTTCATTTATTGCAAATAGGTGAATGATTGGATGCTTTGGAAAGGGCCCATTGGTTTACTACTTTAGACT